TTGTCCCAGCTTCTGCCAACCTAGCAGTTCGAAAGCATGTAAAAAATGCAAGTAGAAAAATAGGGACCCCTTTGGTGGGAAGGTAACAGTGTTCCCTGCACCGTTGGTGTTTAGTCATGCCAGCCACATGACCACGGAGACATCTTTGGATAGCGCTGGCTCTTCGGCTTTGTAATGGAGATGAGCACTACCCCCTAGAGCTGGAAACGACTAGCACATATGTGCGAGGGGAACCTTTACCTTATATTTTTTGGGAAGAAAGGGAATTGTGAGTTAGTCAAGACCCTAGATAGCTTTTCAGTGAGCCGCTCCTGAGTATTTTCTGTATCTGCCCTTCCATGATTCTGCAGGTAAGACTCAAACTCTGCTCCTCCTCTTTTCCGTGCCACATACATGCCATTTTCTGGCAGCTCCCTTCTCCTGGGACTTGTATTTGTATTCCCAGATTAATTTATAGCCCTGGTATTTTCTTGACATCTCCCATCCAGGGATTAACCAGATCCCAAACACTTTTGGACTCTAGTTCAGTGGTGATAAGTGCAACCTTTGACAAACCTGAAAGACAGGTTACAATGTCCCGGAAAAAAATATCTTCTCTTAAGTGGTCTCTAGGAGTTGAAAATGAATGAATCAATCCTCTTTCGCTTTTCAGCATCGCCCAAGAATGGCATTTAAGGCAATGCTCTTTAATGCCTCCAATAAGGAATTGCTCTTTTAATGTCACTCCAAAGCTGAAAATGTAATGGATTTTTCCTGAGAGCAAAAACTCTTTAATGCAGGTAGTCCTCGACCTACAACCCCAATTGAGCCCCAGAATTCATGCGGAGACATTTGTCAAGTGAGTTTTGCCCCATTTTACGACCTTTCTTGCCACTGTTGTGAAGCGAATCACTGCAGTTGATAATTGTTAAGCGAATCTGGCTTCCTCCCTGACTTTGCTCCTCAGAAGGCTGCAAAACATGATCCCCATGACACTCCAACTATCATAAAGGTGAGTCAAGTCACCAAGTGTCTGAATGTTGACCGGGTACATCGTAAGCGTGGCAAATAGTCTTAAGTCACTTTTTTTCCAGTTTCCTTGTAATGTTGAACAGTCACTCAGTGAACCGTTGTAAATCGAGGACTACCTGTATTAAGCCTGTATGATTCTGTGAAGGTTTAGTTAACTTTTACATACCTAATAGCAGTGTTCCTCAACCTTGGCCACTTAAAGATGTGAGGATCCAGAATTCCCAGGCCAGCACGCATCTTAAAGTTATCAGCGTTGAGAAACAGTGCCTCATAGTACTAAGCTCACTGAAGGAGTTACACTTCCCTCTCTTAAGTATCCATTGTTGTTTGTAAAATCACTTCATCATATATCACCACCCTTTTAAAAGGCCTCTGGTTAATGCATTGTATAGCTTATGTCACCCTCACAGTATCTCTGCTTTATCTGGCTTCTAGTCCTATTTTTAAATCATCTTGGCGTTAGTCTGCATACAGAATGCCAACCAATCTAGTCTTAGATTGGGAATATAACATGTATTGTGCAGGCCCCCAACATTATGGAGTTACCATTAATGCATGATAAATGTATTTGTAATACCAAATTCGTAATGCTAAAATGTCACGTATGCACTCATATAAATTTAGACCTTTATGGTGCCGCAAGATACTGTACTGATTACCGTATATACTTGAGTATAAGCCGAGTTTTTCAGCCCATTTTTTGTGCTGAAAAAATCCCCCTCGGCTTATACTCGAGTCAGATTCCCCTCTGAAAAAAAAATGGTGTGGAGTCGCTGCCGCCGGAGCGGCCCCAGTCCCGCCGCCTCGGGAAGGGAAAGGCAAAGCGCTTTTTGCCTTTCCCTTCCCGGCTGGGGCTGTTGGGAGTCGCTGCCGCCTGCCTTTCCCTTCCCGGCTGGGGCTGTTGGGAATCGCTGCCGCCTACCTTTCCCTTCCCGGCTGGAGCTGTTGGGAGTCGCTGCCGCCTGCTTTTCCCTTCCCGGCTGGGGCTGTTGGGAGTCGCTGCCGCCTGCCTTTCCCTTCCCGGCTGGGGCTGTTGGGAGTCGCTGCCGCCGAAGCGGCCCCAGTCCCGCGTCGCCTCGGGAAGGGAAAGGCCACGGCTTGGAAGGCCGCCGCTGGAGCGAAGCTGCGCGCAGCCGCTGCACTAGCATCGGATCGGGCATGCCGGATGGTTCCGACCGAGCCCCGAGCGTCGTCTTTGGCACCCGCCCAGCGCCGCGGAGCTCCTTGTACCGGGAGAATGGGAAGACCCCCCCCCGGGGCAGGGCTGGGAGAGGAGCTTCTCCCGCCCGCCCCTCTTTCCGCGCCCACCGGTGTTCCCGCAGGACGACCCCCGCCCCGCAGTCGCCGCCGCTTGAAAGAGACGGGCCGGGGGTGGGTAGAAAGGCGCCGGGCGCCCTTGGAGGAGAAGGTCCCGCGTTCGCCTGTCTGCCCGCGGATGTCAGCGGAGCAGCCGCTGCTACGGGAACAGTTTACTGCCATTGCCCTCAAAAGGGGGGCAACCGGACAGGGAATCCAAGGGCAGCGCTGGTTGCGTGCCGGAGGCGACAAGCCCCGCTCGGGTGGACGTGTTTGCCCAGAGACCCCGGACGAAGCAGCGGCAAAGCTCCGCTGACATCCGCGGGCAGACAGGCGAACGCGGGACCTTCTCCTCCAAGGGCGCCTGGCGCCTTTCTACCCACCCCCGGCCCGTCTCTTTCAAGCGGCGGCGACTGTGGGGCGGGGGTCATCCTGCGGGGACACCGGTGGGCGCGGAAAGAGGGGCGGGCGGGAGAAGCTCCTCTCCCTGCCCCACCCCAGGGGGGGTCTTCCCCTTCTCCCGGTACAGGGAGCTCCGCGGCGCTGGGCGGGCGGCAAAGACGACGCTCGGGGCTCGGTCGGAACCGTCCGGCGCGCCCGATCCGATGCTAGCACAGCGGCTGCGCGCAGCTTCGCTCCAGCGGCGGCCTTCCAAGCTGTGGCCTTTCCCTTCCCGAGGCGACGCGAGACTGGGGCCGCTCCGGCGGCAGCGACTCCCAACAGCCCCAGCCGGGAAGGAAAGGCAAAAAGCGCTTTGCCTTTCCCTTCCCGAGGCGGCGGGACTGGGGCCGCGCCGGCGGCAGCGACTCCCAACAGCCCCAGCCGGGAAGGGAAAGGCAGGCGGCAGCGACTCCCAACAGCCCCAGCCGGGAAGGGAAAGGCAGGCGGCAGCGACTCCCAACAGCCCCAGCCGGGAAGGGAAAGGCAAAAAGCGCTTTGCCTTTCCCTTCCCGAGGCGACGTGAGATAGTGAGATCGTTTCCCAAATTAATTATTTTTATTTTTGAAATTTACAAGTAGCTGCTGCATTTCCCACCCTCGGCTTATACTCGAGTCAATAAGTTTTCCCAGTTTTTTTGTGTAAAATTAGGTGCCTCGGCTTATATTCGGGTTGACTTATACTCGAGTATATACGGTACTTCTGCTACAAAATCCTATCAAGGCTACTATGAAATGGTCCCAGTAATCAATACTCTCAGTCAGTAGCATCTGTCAGATATATACTGATCTTGCCAGTTTATTTTATGAAATAATTAAAATAAATGAAACAGTATTGCACTAAAACTTCAGACTGAGGGGTTGTTTATGAGACGGAAATGAGAGGGTTACTTTCCTGATTATGGAAGATTTAAAAAATTCTCTGACACTTATTTTTAAATATCAGAAGGCAGATTTAGCAGCAAAATAGATACAGGTAATCCTTGACTAGTGACCATTCATTCCAAATTGTATAGCTAAAAATCTATAGAGATTCTCAGTCATCCAGGTCATGGTAAGAAACGAAATGTTTTCAAAAAACAAAACAAAACCCTAGGAAGTTCATTTGCCTCCTAAAGAAGCACCTTTGGGACAATTTTGGCCTCAGTTACAATAGTAAGTCAAGGACTACCTGTGCATCCTTTGCAACTATCATTTTATTGCCCTATATATTATACAGTATCTTTCTCTAATTTATTGCCTCAGTCATTTTCTTCTGTGCAATTTTTCTTATCTACAACGTCATCCTTCCAGCAAGCATTCTTTTTCATATCTCCTGTTAATGTAATTCCACAAGCTCTCCTGTCCTCTGCAGATTAATTCTTATCATTCTGTTCCACATAACTTCCAAATCCCCTTTCGGTACGCTCATTTTCTATTAATCCTGGCTTCTCCTCTATTAGGAGATTAATCTGTTTTCTCCTGCTGTTTCATGCCAGGCTCACGCTTTCTCTTGCAGTTCGTATACTTTTCATTTCTTTCACTTCCTTCCAAGATGATTTTTCTCTGATCCACTCTTGACCTCTCACATTCAGACCTTCTTATTATATTGGGACCATCAGTAATCTTTCCAAGGCTTTCATCATAGACCAGTGTTCCCCAAGCTTGGCAGCTTTAAGACTTCTGGACTTCAACTCCCTGAATTCCTCAGCCAGCTATGCAAATTATCATAGACAGTCAAATCAATCAGGTTTTTTTTATGCTTGCACATGAATAGATTTATGGTTAAAGCATTCTTGTGTATTTCTAAAGAAACATATAATTATGAAATGTATTTGAATATAAGTAGCTCGGGTTGGTAGTTGGGCTATCGGTCTGAGCTCCGAGCTTGGCAAGTTGGTTGCAAACATTTTGTCACCATTCAGGGAAACATCGTCAGTGCGCTGGACAGACGAGCACAATTCAAAGCACGCTGACAACATCTCCTCGAATGGGGACAAAATGTTTGCAACCAAATTGCCAAGCTCGGAGATCAGCCCAACAGCCCAACATATAATTTATTTCTGAACAGACGTTGCCAAACTATTCATTTGTGGGTTTCTGAATAACCCAATCACTTTTTCTATGGTCTCACATCTTATTTATATCCATTCACCCCAAGACATCTAATGGAATTCTTTTTTTTCTATAGGATCACATCCATTCAGAATGTTGTGTATTTCCCCCAAAACTCACATTTGTTTTTTCTATTATTCATTATTCATTGTACTGCAACTATTACCAACTTATGAATTCTGACTTCCCTTTTTGCCCACATTAACTCAGTTGACTCCAATTAAAACTTTCTGACATACATTTATGGATATAACTTTCAGCTCATACAGGTTGTTTCAGTGTATGACTGGTCACTTAGCAACCATTCAAAGTTACGATTGACCTCCCTCCCAAAAAAGGCAGGACATAAATAAAATGGACTTAAAGTCAGTTTTGGGGATTTTCTGATAAGTAGTTTGAGGTAATGAAGGAAAACATTTGGGAAGCATCCCAAAGGTGCTTTTTCCAGAGGCAACTGGACTTTCTGGTTTTATTTTGAAGATGTTTCGCTTCTCATCCAAGAAGCTTCTTTGGCTCTGAGCTGCCTACCAGAGCTGAAGAAGCTTCTTAGCTGAGAAGTGAAACATCTTCAAAGAAAAACCAGAAAACCCAGTTGCCTCTTGAAAAAGCACCTTTGGGACAACTATGACCTGGATGATTGCGAATCTCCATAGACAATTGGGAAGCATTATTGTACTGTATTAACTTTCTATTAATTGCAATCTTTGTATGCCAAAGACATGCCGGAGGAGTCAGTCCCAATTCCAAAACTGATTTTCGTGTGGATGTGCCCTGAGAATGTGGATGTGACCTTTCTCAAAAGACAACCCTTAATCATGCTTTGTGACTTTCTTTTCTCTCAGGCTGTGAGCCAGCTGGAAACACTCCTCAACAAGGAACTGCGACTGGAGAGGCGTCTGAAAGGCTTGGCACAGGATGTGGCCACCTTACAAAAGAAGTCCCAGGATAATCAGCGCCAGGCCCAGCAGGCCACGGGAAAAGCCGAGCGTGCCACTAACATAGCCCTCCAACTCAAAAATGTGAGAGATCCATCGTTGTTGTTACTTTTTATTACGGGCAACTGTTTTTCGTGGTGGCAGTAACAAATTGTAGATTCACTCTATAGTGCAGTTTCTCTACCTTTGAAACTTTTAAGATATGTGGACTTCAACTCCCAGAATTCATGTTAGCTGGGGAATTGTGGGAGTTGAAGTCCACATAGAATTGAATAGAATGGAACAGAACAGAACAGAACAGAACAGAACAGAACAGAATAGAATAGAATAGAATAGAATAGAATAGAATAGAATTCTTTATTGGCCAAGTTTGATTGGATACAAGGAATTTGTCTTTGGTGCATATGCTCTCAGTGTACATAAACAATAACATTCGTCAAGAATCATAAGGTATAACAATTATAGTCATAGGGTACAATCATCAATCATACTAGGAAACAGTCAATATAAATTGTAAGGATACAAGCGATAAAGTTACAGTCATACAGTCACAAGTGGGAGGTGATGGGTGATAAGGAGTGATGGGAGGATTAATAGTAATTAATAGTAATAGTAATATCAATATCTTACAGTTGCCAAGGTTGAAAAACAATGTGTTAGAAGAATTCCAGAACTCCGACTTAACATTATTTTCCCCACCTTGTTACATTGCCTCCTTGGCAGTGGCCTCTATCTTCATCTCCTCTTTGGAACTCCCTCTGTTCCTCCTTCCCTTGAAAGGTCTGTTGTCTTTCTGCACAGGGTTATGTAGAAAAGATTATTCAAATTATTAATATTCAACCCACAAAACCTTGGCTGATTCTTTAGCGGGAAGTCCCTTAGTTACTCAGTCCTTGACAGCCATAACTGAGCCCAAAATTTCCGTTGCTAAGCGAGACAGTTAAGTGAGTTTCACCCCATCTTACAACCTTTCTTGCCGCAGTTGTTAAGTGAATGACTGCAGATGTTAAGTTAGTAACATGGTTGTTAAAGTGAATCCCACTTCTCTATTGACTTTTGCTCATCAGGTAAAAAGTGATCACTGGCTGGGATAGTGCAACCATCCTAAATATGACTCAGTTGCCAAGTGTCCGAATTTTTATCATTTGACCCTGGGGAATGCTGCAACAGTTGTACGTGTGAAAAATGGTCATAAGTCACTTTTTTTTTAGTGCCGTTGTTAACTTTGAAAAGTCACTAAATGAATTGTTGTAAGTCAAGGACTGCCTGTACTTGACAGAATTCAAAATAATTTTTTCTTTTGCCAAAAGTCCACCAGTGGTGGGATTCAAAAATCCCTGCAACTGGTTCGCTGCCCAGTTGCTGGGTGGGCGTGGCCATGGTGAGCGTAGCCAACCGGAATTTCTGGGAGGGCCGTTTTTCACCTTCCCTAGGGTCCAGAGTGTTAGGAATGATAGTCACCTAACAGTTGGGTTGGCAATATATAAACCAGGATAGTCATTTAATACTGTTGTATCTTTAAGAGAATGCTGCAATTGTGATTGGCTGAGGTTCCTCTAATGGCCATAAGATGGAGCCAGAAACCTGGTTTGTTCCTTTGTGCATTTCCTTTTGCCTTTTTGCCTCATCGTCATTCTGCTTGAATTGCTGTGAGTCTTGCAACTGTTCGCAAACTCCGTTTACTGAACTTTGCTTATGATACTGGTAAAGAAAAGGACTTCGTTTTTGGATTATCCCTGGACTGATTGTTTTGAATACTAGATCAGACCCACAGCAGAAACTCTAGTAAAGAGTGACACAAAAGACCACTGTTCGTTAAAACTGAAATAGCTAAATCTGCCTCTGAAAAACATCTCAAAAAGCAACATCATGACATTACGGTGCATTAAAAGGACTACCAAGGCCTGTTTGTATCACAATTAGGGAACAGAAGAATGAGCTCACAATCAATTAATCTATGTGCGTGTATATGTTAATTCTGCCAGATGTTACACTGCTTGTATGTTTTACATCTGTTATTAGAATATATGGAAAATCGAGATCAGTAAAACTGCAGGATAAATATTTGTCACCGATACAAAATAGCCCAAGTGCCAAAAATAAGGCCTGCAGGCACAGTAGAAACATGGTAAATGCCAAGCCGTGATCAAGTAATCAAGCAGATCAAGGGGAAAAAATGCAGAGTGGCTGCTGACTTTGATAAATTGTGAGATAGGCAGTGGTTTCATTTGATGGCTTGCAAAGTCCGCTAACGGCTCTGAAGGTAGTATGGAAACCTAGATACTGTTCTTAATTTCTGGGACCTAATTTCTTCATCTGCTTGGTTTGTTGAAAATAGACCAGCAGTTGGCTCATTCTTCACTCATTTACTCTGGGATCGATTCCCAACTTTGCTAATTTGCTTTGTGATGATGTTTTTCCTTCTGTGTCTAGGAGGTAGACGAGGTGAAGCAGAACTACCAGAAGCTGCAGGACGAATTGGAGAAACAGCCCAAGGATGTCCTGCTCAGGCTGAAAAATCTTAGGGAGGAAGCCCAGAATCTCCTAGATAAGGCTAACAGCAGCAAAAGGAAGCTGGAAGGTAAGAATGCAAGAGGAGGGTTTTGGCTAAATCCCATGTATCTTCTCTGATTATACAAATATATCCAAACAATAAACATTGGTGGTGATGATGGATATTCACTGACCGGTGGTATGGGAACATTGTCCAGTACAAACTTATTTTGGATAGAGAGGACCATTGCTTTGAAAGAGGGGTAAACACAGGTAGTCCACAACTTACAACCACAGCTGAGCCCAAAATTTATGTTAAGTGAGAAGTTTGCTAAGTCAGTTTCCCCCCATTTTACGACTTTTCTTGCCACGTTCTTGCCACGTTTGTTAAGTGAATCACTGCAGCTGTTAAATGAATACCACGGTTGTTAAGTGAATCATAACATCCCCATTGGCTTTGCTTGTCGGAAGGTCGCAAAAGGAGATTGCATCACCCCGGGACACTTCAACCGTCATAAATGTGAGTCAGTTGTCAAGTATCCGAATGTAAATCACCATGAACATGGGGATGCTACAACGAACGGTCGTAAGTGTGAAAAGCGGTCATAAGTCACTTTTTTCAGTGATGTTGTAACTTTAAACAGTCACCAAATGAACTATTATAAGTTGAGAATTACCAGTAATCCATCTACATTAAGAGACTAGCTATCTCTGGTTTACAATGTGCCCTTGCAGCAGTTTCAATTGCACCCTGATTCGGGTGACCCCGAGGGCAAAGATAAATCCCCAAGTGGCCTCAAGAGGTCTCAGAGAGAGTGTTAATGACCAGATGACTGCAAAGAAATACATTCCTTCCATCCCTTGCCTCCATCGTTCCACCACTCACCATCCAATTTCAACTGTCAATACCTTCTGTCCTCCTGTCATCAGAACTGATGAAGCTTCTTGGCTGAGAAGCGAAACATTTTCTTCTTCTTCCACAAGAAAAAAAAACAGTTCAGTTGCCTTTTGAAGAAAAAAAAAATCACCTTTCATAGTCCAGTATGCCATTACCCCAGGCTAAACAACTCACTGACCAATAACAGATGATTATAAATATCCTGATCATTTAGGGAGTTAGGGACCTCGTTAAGAATGCCACGTAAACATAAACACAATAAGTTGCACGATGAAAATTGTCCTGTGTTTTTTTTTATGCAAAATGTAAAGAAGATACGATCTCAAGGGAACTCGGACTTGGAAAATGGTTTGCAGGTTACTTTAGCAGATGTTGGGGGTATTTAAACTAATATTAGTGCAGCTATTCAAATCAAGGTAAAAAATAAGTTCAGGCCATTATTATCACCAAAGTTCTGAGTTTTGAAATAACAATACGATCAGAATCCATCATTACGATCAGAATCCATCATTTCTTGGTTCATAATTGTACTGCTTTGGCATTTTGCTTCATACATCTCCTCACTCCCCTTCTTAAAAGGAAAAAAGAACCCTTGCTATTTCAGGGCAATGTTTCCTAATCTGGGGCCTTTAGATGCGATGGAATGGTCTGAATCTTAGTGTAACTGAAGTTGCACCTTTGCCAAGCTGGATAGAAATTCTGGGTGTTGCAGAATTATAAATCCTATGCTTCTGGGAGGCACCAGAGTAAAGAAAGTGTTCCATAGACTGCAATGTCTCAAATTTTAAAAATGTCTGGCTATTCTTTCAGAATTGGAGAAGCGCTTTGGGGACAACGAGAGGGAAATGACAAGCAAAACCGAAGAACTGCAGAAGCTGGAGGCCACTGCACTGGGATTACTGCAGAGTATCCAAGAGCACGCCATTGCCTATGCTACCTGCTAAGGTCGAAGTTTCTGTGGTCAGCCCTTTGGGCTGACTTCCTGCCAGCTCTGGACACAACTATGGTATGGTGCTTTCTAACGATGTCAATAACTGGCGCTTAGAGACAAGGCTTTGGCAGTAAATCCAGAGTCTTAATGTAACCCAGATCATTTCACCCTCAACTGACTGTAGCACTTAAATCTACCCGGGATCAGACGTTAATAGGATGATTCCAATGTGAATATTTTGTAAGAACAATATGTCTAGTCTATGTTTTGACCTAGGACTCTGGAACCTAGGCCAGTTTCTGATGGTATCAGCTGGAGAGATAGAATATTTCCCCTGTAGTCATAGAATGGGAACCAGTTTGGTGCAGTGGTTAAAGCACAAGGCTAGAAACCAAGAGATTATGAGTTTTAGTCTTGCCTAAGGCATGAACCAACTAGGTGACCTTGGGCCAGTCGCTCACTCTCTGCCTAGAAAAGAGGCAAGGGCAAACCACTTCTGCAATCTTGCCAAGAAAACAGCAGGGACTTCTCTAGCCAGTTGCCACCAGTCGACCATGATTTGGAGATAAATTGTTATCCTAGTCATGGAAATACTTCCTCCTTCAATACCCTCTTCCTATCATTCACAATGATATTTTCATTAAAGTGTGGAAACCACCATAATTTCTGTATCATCCAGGCTGCCAATATGAATGCTGTAAAAACTTAATTTAACTGACTGCCATTCCAGATTACTGATCTTTCCTGGCATCTTTTTAATTATTGGTGTCCTTATTTTTTTTTAATACAGTAAGGCACATATACACAAAAACAATAATTTTCTAAGAGATTTTCCTATCCTGGTTCCCTCAACTCCCATAGTCATCAATTAGCAACTAGGACAGGGGTCTCCAAACTTGACAGCTTTAAGACTTGTGGACTTCCACTCCCAGAATTCCTCCTCCAGTCATGTTAGCTCAGGAATTCTGGGAGTGGAAGTCCACAAGTCTTAAACTTGTCACGTTTGAAGGTCCTCGAACTAGGTGTTGGTTACAGCAACACACATACAAACTCAAAATTAGGAGAATTTTCCTAATTTGGATGACTGTTAAGCAGTGAAACCCCTCCTGGAATCGTGGCAGCTCTATCACTGGTGGTTTTCAAACAAAGGCTGAACAACCATTTGTATGACATGATATAAAGATCTTCTAGTCCAGGGTTGGACTAGATCTCCATGATCATTTTCAATTTACTATTGTATGTCCAACATCACTGGCTTGGAGAAGACTGCAGGCCCTGATACAATATTCATCTCCTATGAATATTTATTGAAGGTCTCCTTCGGTATGTCCCACTCCAGATGAGGAACTTCCACTAGTGAGTTAATGTCAGTAATGATTATTTTGGGTTACCAATTATAGCCATCAGCACACATTAATATTATTATTTTTAAAAAAATACAAGGTATGGAAAGTATGCTTCTCGAATTCTTTCCAACCCCGAGCGGCTTCATTCTGGGTCACCTGACCAGGATAAATGGGGGCTTAAGAATAGAGCACCTGGTAGCATTCTATTATGGGTCTCCCATAGGGATAACAAAATAACAGAGCTGGAAGGGACCTTGGAGATCTTCTAGTCCAACCCCCTGCTCAGGCAGGAAACTATATCATTTCAGACAAATGGTTATCATCCAGTCTCTTCTTAAAAACTCCCAGTGTTGGAGAATTCACAACTTCTGGAGGCAAGTTGTTCCACTGACTAATTGTTCTAACTGTCAGGAAATTTCTCCTTAATTCTAGGTTGCTTCTCTCCTTGATTAGTTTCCACCCATTGCTTCTTGTCCTGCCCTCAGGTGCTTTGGAAAATAAATTGACCCCCTCTTCTTTGTGGCAGCCCCTGAGATATTGGAACACTGCTGTCATGTTGTACCCAATTCCGGCAACCGTTCTTTATATGTTTTTTAGCTTCCAGTCCCCTAATGGGGACTGGGACGCATGTTTCTGAATTTTATTATTCTCCATCAGATCTAACCCATTTTCTAACTCCATTTTTCTTTTCTTTATTTCTCCCCCTGCACACACACCCTTCAAATATGATCCAGTTCGCAATCAGTTTTGCCGATAGAAAGGCACATACGGTAGATAGACTAATAGGCAGGCATAATCCTAAATCCCTTTATGTAATTTCTTTCCAACATAACATGTTGAGCTGGGAAGAATAAAAAAATGATTCAAATAGATTCAGACCCATTGTAATCTTAATAGCTTAGGATGAACTCCAGTTCTCTTATTGCCTCGTACAAGGAAAATGTAAGGAGAGAAGAGGGTTCCCCAAAGTCTGTTGATGAACCAACCAACATTGATTAAACATTAGATCAGGGCTGTCCAACCTTGGCCCCTTGAAGCCTGGCGGACTTCAACTCCCAGAATTC